CAGCGAATGCTGGCTGGGGAATTCTGGGAATTGAAGTCCGGACATCTTCAAGTTGCCAAGGTTGAGAAACACTGCAATAGAAATGACAGCCATTTGTGTGAAACGATAGAGGGTCTCTTGTTTGTGCAGGGAGTTGGAGTAGAAGACCTCCAAGGTCCCTTCCAACTCTGTTATTCTATATTGTAACTCACCCATTGAGGTCAAAAGCTCTGATGAGAATGTGCTGCAATACATCCAGTGAAGTGATCTGTGGGTCCACAGCAAATGTCCGGAACTCAGGTTGCAAGAAGCCTTCACATTTCTGCAGAAATTGCACACAGGTAAGATTTAAAACACACTGCTATTAACTGGATAGTCTGCATAATCTGTACATATACTGTACATAGTCTCAGCATTTCCTGGTAAAAACAAAGACACATTGTTACTGTTTTATTATACAACGGAGATTATGACCACATTTAATTCAATCCTATATTTGTCAGGCAATCTCCATTAAGGTATATTGTTAATATTTTAATTTCTCTCTTTGCTTATAGGCATTCCTACTGAAGAAAAAGAATCACTAAGAGAAAGGGAAGGGAAAATAGATTACGAACAGCTTGGTATTGACTCTCCCTAATCAACTTTTGAGTGATAAGTGAACAAAAATTCGTGTACATTTCCCAAATCAATAGATCAAACATCTATGATTAACCACACTGGAGAATAATTCTGGGAACTGACTCCAATATACTTAGAAGAAATGAAATAATGAAAGACCATTATAAATATTAGGGCCAGGATCAACATATGTTCAAGTGTGCATAACTATTATTTTAGCTTCTGTTCTTCATATGTATTTTAAAATGTTGCAAAATAAATAAATAAATGAAGAACTAAATAGGACAAAATGGCTTTTGGCTTGATATAACAAGAATTGCTATGTCTGAATGGAATCTAGAATATGGTCCAAATTATTATATTGAAGTGATGAATCAAAGACCTGTTTCTGACATGAATCAGAACAATAGTGTCCAATTCAAAAACCAAGAGCTCAAATCCCACAAACTCAAAAGGATATATTTCTAAATAAGGAAGATTGTAGTTGCCAGTAAATATTTTTAAATAGTTCCTTATAACATATATGTTTCTTACAACATGCAAGAGTCTACTGGAATGGCCCACTATGTTAAATCTAATAAATCACAATACAAAACATATCTAAATTATTTGAAACCAGAACGCCAGAATAAAAGCTCTATTTACATTGAGTATGTTATATTTACAAAAGTTTAGGGTTGTTTAGAAAAATAGCACGTATTACCGAACTGGAAATTTAAATGTAGTCTTGATTCCAAGCTACAGTTAATACAAGCCAAAGCCTAGCATAGCATGATGTCTGAACAATCTGCGACTTCAGCACATTTTATGAAACAATGAAAATTGGAGCCTATGATTTCCTGAACAAAAGAACAATGTCTCAGCCACAGCATGAAAGTATACATTTTGCAAGGTTACCTTGGAAATAAACAGATTCCCAAGCCAACTATGTGGCCAATTTCACAGCCAACTACTCCCCTACAATTAAATCTCCCCTGCTGAAGAATAATGTTGGAAACCCAGCTCTGCTTTCCTCCGGGGTTCAATCTTTCAATCATTTCTTACCCAATGATTATCCACGTTTCATCCCGCTGAAGATTTAGCTCCAACAATCTTGTGGGCCAGCCTTCCAAGCCCTTCCACTCGCCCCCAATCTCATTTTCCATGCACCATCCTAGTCTCAGCAACCTGGAGACTCCGGGTTAGGGAAGGCTGCCCTGCCCTGTGACATCATTATGAGGCACCATCCTTCGGCCGACTACTAGACCCAGCGGTCCGTGGGGAACACCTGGGACGCATCTCCCACCTGTGGCTTCTCCCTCCTCCCCCCCCCAGCCAGTGAACCCCGCCACACCTGGCTCCTTCGCCTCCGGGTCGCTCACCTTGACCCGCACACGAACCACTTCGTGTTCTTCTTCTTCTTGGGGCTGCAGCCACGGCCCCGGTCCTGCTCCGGCCCCACCCCCTCCGGGAGTCGGCAGCGGGGATGCCTCCGCTCCCCCCGGGGCCGCCACCGCTGCCATCCCGACCCCTCCACCTTCCCTCTGCGGCGGAGGCACCGCGCGCCGGGGCGCTAACGGCCCCCCCACACCTTCCGTCCCCGTTACGTCACCCACCCCGAGGGCGCCTCTCGTGCCGTCAGCCAGTCAGCTGGCGGGTGTTCTCGCGCGCAAGGGGAAGGGCGGGGGGGAGGGACGACGAGTGGGGAGTGGGAGGGTGGGAGAAAGCACCACTGCCATCCCTATATCCCAGCCCACGACTTCCGCTTTCGCCGGCAGTCCCGGCTTTCTGCGCTGACGTCATCAACCCGATCTTAAAGGGGCAGAGCGGCCGGAAGTGGCCGGATGGTGGGTCTATTGCAGTGTTTCTCAACCTTGGCAACTTGAAGATGTCCGGACTTCGACTCCCAGAATTCTCCCGCCAGCGTTCGCCGGCTGG